TTTTAATTCAGAGTTCATGTCACTAAGTTAGAACGAGCTGTTTAATTATTATCTTTATATTTGAGTTAAGGAATTTAAAAAAATTAATTAATTAAATTATAATTTTCAAATATTATAATTTAAGTAATCAAAAAATTTTTTTTTATTTTTTGAACGGCCCGTTCCGGTCTAGTGACATTGAACTTTGGGTTAGGACTGTTCACCTCCGTAGGTTGTACATTCAACCCCCGCGAACCCTTTCTCCTCTCCTCCAGTTAACCCTATAAATAATTACAAATTGTTCAAAAAAAAAAAAAAAAAGTTTTTTCTTTATTCCCCCCTCCTTTATTTGTACAACGGGAATCGGAGATAAGGGAAGGGGATGTGAAGGGGATCAAGGGGATTTAAATCATGTGGAGTGGGTGAAAGACCAATAGAATAAAAATTTATTCATCAATGTCCTTTTACTTTTTTTATTTTGTTGATTAATATTTTCCTATTAGTACATGTTCATTTTTATCATTGAATTGATGATATATTATGTACTATGTTATTAACTACTTTTAGTTTATAATAAAATGACTAGCACATATTATTTAAAAAATATTTTTTTTTTAATTTCCTAACACATGACTTTTGATAGTTACAAAAAGTCACAAATGCACTATTTCTTAATGAAAGTTTGTGAATTTCTCACTTATAAATATTTAATTTTTAATAATATCTCCTAATTAGCATTAAGTTAGGCTCCCTTGTTTTTTCTTCTCTCGTTAGGGGCCCTTCTCTTCTTTTCTTCCTTTCCAATGGCAATACAGGTGGCTTGCGGTCTTTCTGCTCCTTCCCTCCTTCAACTGCACTACTCCAATCTAATCACACAATATAATTCCTCTTGCCACCAACTATGTACGATTGAGAGAGGGGCAAAAATCTTGTGCATGAAACGGCATACTCGGATATGAAGGTTGATGATTTGATGTCTTTGGAGCAACATGTGTTGGCCTCCAACCCTGGGGATATGTCTCTTTGCTATCTAGCCAAAATAGCGAAGTGGAAACACCATGCTTTGGGGAAGATCTAGGATAGAATAGGAAGTGGTTTGGTTATATTACCGACTAAGAACGAAGATGGAAGGGAAGACGGAGTTGATTTGAAGAGAATTCAAAGATGGAGGAGCATCTAATGTTTGGCTTGATGACTCAGACTTTGTATAGGGAATGCACGTGGATGTTTTTCATCCATTTATGGGTTGGATATAAATTTAGCTAGTCTAGACAAAGCATTGTACTCTTGGGAGACTTTATGTTGCTAAGTTACTGTATTAAGATTAGATGATAGAATAGATGTGGTTATTAATAATAAATAAAAAGTTTTAAAATAATTTTTTAATGTTTTTATATAAATCTATTAATACTTTTATGAGGTACGTATACTAAATCTCTTAGTTTGTATTGTAATTAATATAACTATACTTTTTATAAAAAAAAGAAAAAGATAAATGCTTTTAGCTGCTCCACTTCTAGAAACTTAGGTGACACATGCTGAAGATAATTAATACTTCATCCCAAAGTAATTGTAATTTTTTTTTATGAATTTAAATGCAATTGAGACTAAACAAAAAAAAAATTACAACTATTTTAAGACAGAGTAGGTAGAAGATATAGATTAATTATCCAGTAGACTGCAGTTCTTTGAATTTTTTTTTAAATGTATTATCCATGTTTATTAGACTTTATTACCTAATTAATAAGTAATTAAGGGCACGTAAATCAATTTTAATTGGTCATAAAAGAGAGACTTGGGGCATAATTCAAACAGAAACAGGGTTTTGCTTTTAAGAGGGTCAAGAAAATGACGGATGGAATTTGATTTGTCGCCATTATTTCTCATTGTCAACAAGGAGGCTTCGGGAACGACATATAGACTTCCAAAGTCATAATATATATCGGATTGACATGGCATAATATTAACTAGATATTTTTATGAAGGTGGTTTAATGGTTAATA